GGTTTTTCCAAGGAATTTGTACCCCTCGGTCGTGTGCGCGGCACAAGCCCGCTCGCATGACCGCCGCCGTCGAGGAAGCGAGGAGCGCGGGAGGGAGGGAGTGAGCGAGTAAATTTTTTATCGGTAAAAACTCCATTAGAGAGAAAGAGAGCGCGCGAGAGCCGGTGTTTGTTATTGGTCATCCTCGGGAGAGGGACAGGGCCGGACCCCATTGATCTCGCCCGACACATCCTTTATCTCTCCTTCTCTCTTCGCGTTTTTCCCCCTTTGCTTTCGCTCCCTCGCTGCTTTTTCGAACGCGACCACTTATGTATGTATCCTCCTCCCCACCTCCTATACCTCCTATTCGCTTTTCTCGCCTCCCGACAGCTTATGGCGAGAGCTTCGTCCGGTACAGGCTGCCCGACCGAGCGCTGCTTATGAATTGCGCTTTCGTTCGGCTGCGAAATCCACCTCGTAAGAAGAATAATAAATTCACGCGGTAGAGAGAAAAATAGTCGCGCCGGCTCCGGTGAAATAATGCCCGCTGCGGCTCTTGCACACATCCGTATATATAAATAAGAGGCAGGCGCGGAGGTTATCGCGCAGAAAAATACATCCAAAGGCCCATATTTCTCGCGCTCCTTTCGTTTTTTCCCCTCCCTCGGCGTCCCATTTGTTTACCGCGAGATTTAAGTACGTGCGCACGCGTGTGCGTAAGCTGGCAAATGGAACGTTGCATGTTTTAACGCCGCCGTGCTGCGAGACAGAGAGAGACGGAAAGTTTACCTCGTTTGTCGAGCATTTATGTTTCGCATATATACGCGGGAGAAGCCAAGTTTATTCATGATATTCCTACAAGCTGCTCTTTTTCATGCTCTTTATTAGCGATGAATAGAGAGAGAGAGAGATAGAGAGAGAGAGAGAGAGAGAGAGAGAGAGAGAGAGAGAGAGAAGAGCGGGGATAACTCACCCTCGCACGACGGCTTCTTATTCATGCGCATTTATTTCAGCCTGCTCCGCCGTCCGCTTTCTCTCAATTCATCATGCCTCACTGGCTAAATTGTACATTTTAGACAGCTCTGATAAATTTAACGCAGTAGCTACGTCATTCATACGCCATACTTCGTAGGCTCTGTGGCGGCGCGAATATTGACTTTTACTACTCGAACAAACGACGAGATCTGTCGAGACAAAGCATCCGTTTTCTTATGATGCAAGGAAAGGCGAGCACGAAAGAGAGAGGGAGAGAGAGAGAAGATGCCATTTGTATCGAGCGAGACGAAAGGTTTATCAGTCTGCGCGACGCGGTGAACGCCAACTGGCTCTCGCGGCATCCGTCTTTCTCGCTCTTCACGCGGAAAGTGGGAGAACGGAATTAATCCGAAATAAAAACGAGCGCACGACTCGAGTCGAGCCGCCCTCTATATATTTGCCGACAGAGCTCTATATCTGTGCTCATGAAAAGACAAGTCTCGGAGGAACGAATGGGGCTTGTTTTTTAATCGTGTTTTCTTCGCGCGCCTTCAATTATTAGCGAGCTCCGATTTATTATTGACGATGATGAAGTAAATCAGTGAATAAACAATTGTTATGGTCAACCGATGCCTGCGAGCGAACCAGGGTGACGAGGATGGGTGGGAGCGGTAAAAAATGCTTCAATCTCGCCTGGAGAAGAATGTCGTCGTCTAAGACAAATTGAAAATCCCATCGGGCTCGGAATCCAATAGAAAAATGTTCGCCGACATAAAGCGGCTCGCGGAATGCTTGGAGAACGTAGATATACGGGAAATAAAGAGAAGGAGCGAGCGAGTGCACCATATATAACATTTTCGCAGAGTGCCAAGGAAGGGGGAGGGGCAGAAGAAGAAGGGTGGCAGATCGGAGACGAGAAAATGGCCCGGCGAAATAGCCTCTCGCGAGCTGCCGAGTGAGCCGCTGCCGGACACGAGAGCTACTTTTATATCGGCTGGCAAATAATGGGATTCCCATCATGAAGTGGATTTCCCTTGGGAGTCTCTCTCTCTCCGAGCTGGACATCCATACACACACACACCCGCGCGCGAGCGTCCGACTCTGGATTCACCTGTCCGATAGACAGAGAGCCGTTTTCGCGCGCAGTATCAACCACCGATTATCCTGTCGCACCGCCGCCGCTACTGTGCTGTTGTGTATGTGTGTGTGTGTGTGTGTGTGGCTCGTCGAGTAGTTAACCCGAAACTGGCTCGAATCTCTCTCTCTCTGCGATTGCTATCTGATTCGATATCGATGCTACTTGGACCTCTTTTTGGCCGCCACTGTTGCGGGATATTTTCTTTATTTAGGTTGGACGGCTCTTTTCTCCCCCACTGGCCGAGCTTTCTCTTTCTATTTCCTCTTTTAGCTTTACATGCTCCGGCAAGATGCCGATTCCATTCAAATTGTTTAATGTGGGTCCTTTTTTCATGACAACGGAACGGCAGACTCGAAAACGATTTTACGCAAAAGACAAATGACAAAAAAAAAGCTTCTTAAATGTACTTTGCTATTTTTTCGCTAATTTTTAAATGTAATTATTCTTTCGTGTAGTTAGGATCCATAGTAACAAATGAACGAAATTAATCTAGTTATTTGATGATTTGTAATAAATTTTAAATTTTGCGCTTGGATTTCGTTAGATAAAAAAGAAATGGTAATTTGTCCGTATACTTTGCGGACAGGACTAAATATTTTCAAATGTACAAGCTTATTTCTAACTTTGTGAAGTTTTACCACACTTTCAAAAAGTTTGAAAAGTCTCTCACTAGATGGCAGCAGGTAATTGGATCCTGACTCATTGGATAACTCTCCGATCTACTAGTTCCAGGCAAAGAAATTTTAATAAACTCATCAGATTCCCTAAAGAATTTGAAATATTATTTCCTGTAGAACCAAGTATAATTGATATTTTCACTGACGGATCAAAAGTGACCATGAACGACAGTTGTTTAGCTGGTTTTGCTGCTTGGAGTCCTGCTCTCCCTTTTCAATTTACATTAAAAGTTTCGATTTTAGCTTCTATTTTCACCGCAAAAATCGGTTCTTTAAATTACATTTTGAATAAAATCATTACTAGTGAAAACATTACCTTCAGAATTTTTATCGACTCAGAAAGTGCCTTAAAACCGTTAATCAATACTCACGGTACTAAACTTTGTCTCTTCACTCATTTTACAGTTAAAAACTAAGTTACTTCATTGCAGAAAATTGGGTCATAAAATTAAGTTAATCTGAATTCCCTCGTATAAGGGTATACGCGAAAATGAAAATGCGAATAAATGTGCTCGACAAACTGCCCAAAGTGGTGCTTTGTTAAATATATATAGAATATAGCCACACTCAGATCTATATAGTAAATTTAACCACGAATATAATTTAGAATTCTGTTATTAACATTTCATTTTATTGTGAGTACTATATCATAGAAAAAACAATAAGTCTTGGTTCTCCAAATTTTCGGACTCAGGAAAGCGATCACTACAATTAATAGTATTCGAAATGAGCATATGCGTCTTTTAATTATTATTTATATAGATTTAATAGCGTTAAAACGATATTTCTACATGTGGCAATGAATAAAACACCATTGAACAGATCTATTTTGACAATTCAACCTGTTCTTAAAAAAAAACTGAGATAATTAAAAATTTAGGTAAACATGTTGAGTTGTGATCTTATTCAATTGTTTCTTTTCTTTTCCATGTGGATAAAAATATAAACAGTATTATATCAGAGTTTATATTAGAAATCCAAATTAATATCTAACTTTATGCAAAACAAATTAACATTATTTATAGTTATTTTTTTCTATATAACTAGATCATCAATAATCATATTTAATACTTCAAGTACACTTAAGTTTATATCTTTATGTATTTGTGTAAGAATAAAAATACGTATAATGTATCTTTATATGTAATTTGATTCTTCGCGCCGTAAAATGGCGCTGATGTACTGATGCAATGACTCCATTCCATACTCCATACTTAAAAAAGTTGCTGCCAATAGAAATCACACTATACTATATATATACTATACTCATTGGACAAACGACAGTTTTGCTCAGTGTTATTAATGGCATTAGTGGTCAGCTCACCCATATTATTGTCAATTATAATTGTCAATCAGAAATCAATCAGAGGACTGAGCAAAAGTCGTTTTTACACTTTAATTGTTTTTGTATAACTAAATTTCGATTGATAGATTTCTCAATTTGAATTCACATCTACTCACATTTATTAAAAAAATGCCAATATATGTATGATTCAAAAAAATCCGAATTGAAGGCAAGATGTATCATCAGTCACCTATATACATAAAGATCATTATTATACATTTATCCATATAATTTCTCAACCGTGAAATCTCCGACTGAATCTTAGAAAAAGGAAAAGAAATAGCAATGGATAAATGGCTTAAACATTTATCGTATGTATATTTAAATGCGTTCCAAATGACGGTATTATTGAAAATTGTATTCTATACAAGTTCTGAGTATGTATAATTATATGGTGCTCGTTAATGGCTTCCAAATATATACTAAAAGAGATAACATTTATGTTCGATAATAAAGGTAAAACGATAAATAATATTGAAATATTATAAAATTCGTAATATAAATTTACTTAGAACTAACTTTAATTATACGAAAACATATCCAAACTATAATAAAGATAGGCTTTTACATATTTTTATAGCTGATATTCTAAAAATATTATATTTAATAATAAACTAACGTCGATTTTCTTTCATTTCCTAAAAATCCTCAGTTTTCTCTTCAGCACTTTAATAAAAAATAAACAAAAGAAAACTTGAATATTCATTAAAAAAAGATAAAATTTATTTAAAGAGTAAATACATATGCAATTTTTATTTTTAAGCTTTGTACCACATCGAATCATAAATTCCACTGAAGCATATATAGTAAAGCGTACTTTTCGAGGAATGGGAATGCACCTAAAGCTTTTCTTTTATTGGCTGCGCCCTTTTGCAACGTAATAAGTTTCAAGCATCGTCTTGCCGCATTTAAAATTGTAATCTTGCTGAGTCAGTCAATAAACTAGGTATGAATTACTGTAAATACAGTTAGCTGACTTAATTTATTCAAATAAATTCAGATCCATACACTAATATTTCATTTCAAGCAAATTTAATAATACAGTATTTTGAATATCATATTTCGACAGTATTTTAGGCGTAGCTTTTTAGTTTTAGGTTAGAATCGCAAATTCGGGTAGGAGAAAATACCAAATAATGATATTATAACGTACTTTTCACGTCTAATTTCAGATTTATTGTACAAAATGGATGAATTAACAAAACATTTAGGAAAAATCAGGGTACCTGGGCATAATGATAAAATTTACAAAGACGAATGTGTTTTGTCTTTTGATACTCCAGTAAGTTACTCAACTATCAATTATTTATCATATTTTAAACAAATAGATACGAATGTCCAATATTTTTGTATTATTAGGAAACTCCAACTGGTTTGTATGTGAATCTAACAACTTTTCTGGGATTTGGTGCTGATTATGTATCAAAGTACTTTCAACATATCGGAAATGCAGTATTTTTACATATCAAAAGAACAAAGAATGAAGTATGAATCATTTATTAAATTTTATAATTTTTCATATACTAATCATTTTGATGTCAATAAAATTGTCTGTAGGTATCAGTAGAACAAACAGATGATGGTCCTGATAAGAAAATCACACGTCTTGCTATTGGAACGCCTGGAGGATTCAATCCAGACTCCCAGAAATATACTTATAAAGAAAGTTATTCTATTGTAGTCATGCCAGATTTTAAAACTATTCCTTATCCAAAAGATGATTTGCCAAAGCAAGTGAGTGTTAAATACATCTATTTTTATCAGGAAACCTATTGTGTCAATTGAATCTATTTTATTATTTTCTTTTTTCAAAGGTAAAAGACTCAGTGGAAGCTATTTTGAAAGCAGAATCTGCTTTGAAAATTGCTGAAAAAGCTGCTCATAGTGGCACTTGGGATGGAGAAACAAGACAAATAACTAAGTAAGAACCATTATTTTTATATTACATTTAATGTAATTTTACCAATTTAATACAATTCCGTTATTCATACAGACACATAAGTCTACCTCAGCTTGATAATGGCAAGAAAATTCCACCAAATGGATGGAAATGTGAGGAATGTGATCTAACTACAAATCTATGGTTGAATTTGACTGATGGTTCGATTTTGTGTGGGAGGAAGTTTTATGATGGAACTGGTGGTAACAATCATGCTGTGGCACATTATCAAAAGTGTAAATACCCTTTAGCAGTCAAGTTAGGAACTATAACTAGAGATGGAAAAGGAGATGTTTACTCGTATGATGAAGATGATATGGTTGAAGATCCTAATTTAGCTCTTCACTTGTCACATTGGGGAATCAACTGTGCCCATATGGAAAAGACAGAGAAATCGATGGTGGAATTGGAGTTGGAATTGAATCAAAAGTTTGGGGAAATGATAGCTATGCAGGAGGGGAATAATCAACTCACACCTCTTTATGGCCCTGGTTTGACTGGACTAGTAAATTTAGGAAACTCATGTTATTTGAATAGTGTTATGCAAATGTGTTTCACAATTCCTGATTTCATAGAGCGGTTTGTATTATTATCAAGTATGTTTGACTTTGATATAGATAAAAAGGATTTATAAATTTTATTTGCAGGTTTGTGAATAAAGCAGATGAGATTTTTGATCAAAATATATCAGATGCACCAAATGATTTTAATACTCAAATGTAAAAGAGACAGAATGTCTATATATTTATTTATGATTAATCTTACATATTGATTCATAAATTCAGAATCTGTTACTTTTTTATATACAGGGCAAAATTAGGTATTGGTTTATGTTCTGGAAAATATTCTGAACTTCCAACATCAGGTATAAATGATAATCGCCAAGGAATATCTCCAAGAATGTTTAAAACCTTAGTGGGACGTGGTCATGGCGAATTTATGTCAAACCGACAACAGGACGCTCAAGAATTCTTCTTGCATTTGATTAATTTACTAGATGTGGGTATACTAAAATCACAGTTGTAAAATAATATTTACTATACTTATTTTATACATTATCAATTTTCTACTCAGAGAAACAGTCGTCATCAAGTTAATCCAGCTGATTGCTTCAAGTTTAAAATTGAAGAACGTTATCAATGCAGTTCTGGAAAAGTTAAATATACGTCAAAGCCAGAGTATCTTCTACCTGTGCCTATCTCTATGGATTCAGTAATAAATAAGGTAAGTCATAATTTTTAACAATTATAAACTGTTCCTAACTTTTCAGTCAAATAATTGTAGGAAGAAGTTGCTGCTTATGAAGCAGAAAAGAGTCAGTCAGGAGAAGACAAGAATAAATTTGATCTTAATATTGTGAGGCCACGACTTAAATTGCGCTCTTGCTTAGAAAGTTTTGCCAGAGTAGAAACTGTTGAGCAATTTTACAGCTCGGCCTTGAATGCAAGAACAACTGCCACGAAGTATTTATTTTTATAAAGTAATTTTATTTGTTCTTTTAAATTTACAAATTGATATTTAATGTTCCAACGTTCTTGCAGAACTACAAGACTAGCTTCTTTCCCTGATTACCTTTTATTGCATTTGAGAAAATTCACTGCCAAAGAAGATTGGACTCCTGTTAAATTAGATGTTGCTGTTGACATGCCAGATATTATCGATTTAGAATTTTTGAGGAGCAAAGGTTTACAGCCTAATGAAGAATTGTTACCAGAAACCAATATTGCACCACCCCCTCCCGTTTACGATAAGAACATTCTTACTCAGCTAAGTGACATGGGTTTTCCTCCAGAGGCTTGTAAAAAAGCATTGTATTTCACTCAAAATAGTGGAATGGATGCAGCTACCCAATGGCTTATGGAGCATATTTCAGATGAAGACTTTTCAGATACATTTATTCCTCCTGGAACAGAAAGAATTAGTGAGATTTTATATTTTTCAACTATGACATCAAATTAAGAAAAATTTTCATATTAATTTTTTCATATTTTATAATTTTACCTCAAGATACAAGCGCTGATGCATTTACACCTCGTCCTGATGCTTTGGAAATGGTGATGGCCATGGGATTCACGAAGGAACAGGCAACCAAAGCTCTGAAAGCTACAGATAATAATTTGGAACGTGCTGCAGATTGGATATTTAGTCATCAAGCTGAACTTGATGGTCAGTGCATGGAAGTCGACGAACAACCTCCAGAACCATCTTACCGAGACGGACCAGGATGTAAGTTTTTTAACATTACAATTTTGGAAATATTTTTTATTTCATTGTGTATTAATTTTTCTTTCTAAAATTAGCTTACAAACTAGTGGGATTTATTACTCACATGGGTACGTCAACTATGGTTGGGCACTATGTCTGTTACTTATTCAAAGATGGAAAGTGGGTCATTTTTAATGATGAAAAAGTAAGTTGTTATATTTTTCTAGATGTATTAATAATGTTTCATGTAAAATCTTTATATAATATTTTAGGTATTTTTATCTGAAAAACCAGCGAAAGAACTAGGTTACATATATTTGTACCAACGCCTCGATAAGAATTAGTTACAACAATATAACGCTTGTTTTTTGTATAAATAATTTTATTGCTTTTCTATAACTAAAATAAAACAAGTGATTAAACGAGTGTTATTTTCTAAAATAAGATTTCTACAATTTTTGTATATACTTTTTAAAAATGAATAAATGTGAGTTTTTTATAGAATAAATTTTATTTTTTTCAATTATTATTATTAATTATTTTTTCAATGGCACAAATTTACAATATATCAATCATTAATGCAGAAATGCAATTTGTTTTTTGCACCATTCTATAAATAATCAAAATTAACAATATATTTTTATAAAATAAAAATATCTTACTAATTAAGTACTTTGCAAGACAGCTTATATTATTTTCATAATTATAGTAATAACAATACATTTATTTATTTTACTCAGCAACATTAATATGACCAACTATTATCAATTTTGCCAAGTTATATTTCACGTTAATTTAACAATTTATTCTTAATAATAATTGAGCGGACATAAATTAAGCGTATGACATACTAAGTTAAAGATAAACTACATAAATATATTCACAGCAATCTAAAGTACACGTAAATCGTACACGTCTTGTAACAAATAATTATAATTTTTTCCTCTTTTCAAAAAATTGTAACCAGTCTATTGACATAAAATAAGCAGCAAAATAGAATATAGTAATATCCAAATATATTTCATTAATGTTGGAGTAAGTTGCTATGATTAGAGTTTTTTGATGGCAAAACATTTATAAAACAATATTTCCTACATAGTAATTTTCAAAAATGACGATAAAAATATTTTTCTTTAATATACAACTTTTTAAAAAGTTTTTATAAAAAGAAATATAAAAGGTTATTTTACAAAAATATGATATTTATCAATATCTTGTCAAAAATTAACTTGTATTTTTTATTTTTATTCTGTTGGTTCTATCATCTATGATGTCTATTGAAGGTGGTAAAGCATAAATAATATTATCGCCGTCTTTCTTGAAAGTTGGCCTCGTTACTTCAGGTATCACTTCTATTTTTAATATCTTACGTTTGTTTCCAAGCATACATTTAAATTTTGAATCAACTGTAACTTGCACATCAGCTTTGCGTGATCTAAAATGGAATTAATAATTGAAGATTTTGTTAACTACCTTATCGTTTAACAACAGTATAAACTATGATTTACTTACTTGTAATAAGCGTTACTGAGAACTCCCACGAGTTCTCCAACTTTATCTTCAGTCGTTACAATGGAAGCAATGAAATCATTTCCATGATTGGAGTGAATTATTATCAATTGATCCCTACCAGGTGAAACACTAAGGCCTGTAATGTCAGCTATATTCATAACTTTTTTCATGTTCTTAAACTTAGAACTTTCTAATTTATATAGAGCTTGTTCTGTAACAACTAAAACTCGATCTGCTTGCTTACTAAATCTGAAATATAAAAATAAAAGTAAATACTTTAGAATTACAATCAAATAATTACACAATGAATGGTAAATAATGTAGAAATCCTCACTTGTTAGTTTTCTTAATGAAGGCACTGAATAATATGGTCTTAAAGTGGTCGGCATTTTTAAGATTGTTCATCGATGTATTATAGATATCATTGTGATTGTTCTCACTGAACTGAGATAAATAGTTGCCTTCCCACTTTCTATCTTGACCATAGTATAGTCGCTTTGAACGCATTGCTGCAGTAGCTGACATCTATAAAACAATGAAGTATTTACTATTTAATTAAGACTACTTCTCTTGTTGTTATTTCTTTGTATTTGAAATACCTTCAGGCGCAATTGAGGCCAATCTTCTCTTGGAATCTTCTTCAGAATCATCCAACTGTACCACCTGGCATACATCATCTTCAGCAAAGGCACTACCGGTTTGACAGCGAAATTTTCCTTTGGCCAAGGCAAGTGCTTGCCATAATGAGGTGCGTTCTCTGCATCTTGGAACGTATTTCGAAGTTTATTTATATAAGAGCGCTTTTTGTATCTTTTGTAGTACTGTGCAATAGTGTAGGCTGCCTTTAATCGCCTGTAGTATCTGCGAGCCATGAATCCGCGAGCCATTTTTTGAATCAACACTACTATCCCAGGAATCAAATCTTCTCGAGCCTAAAAGATAATTTATTTTTGTTGAACTTTGTTTATAACTTATAATTTAATATCGACGGAGACATTACACAAAGTGTATGAAAATTCACCATGCACATACAGATACTTTACGTTCAACATTGTAGATTTCGCATAAACTATTGAATATGCATAGAAATAGATGATTTCATTAATTTGTTACACTACACAGTAATGCACAAAATATATTAATCTATAAACATAATGCACTACTTCGCAAATGTGCTTAATTTCATACATTATGATAAGAGATTAATTTTCGTTGAAAGGCCAATTGTACATAATCATTCGTAGAGATGCATATGAGTCAACTATTATTCAAGATTTCCATTACCTTTTCAAGAGCAAACAGTGTGCGAGGAGAACGTATAAAGATTTTTGTATGTCCGTATTGAACATCGTTGGAGAAATCTTTGTCATCCATCATCATTTTCACACCACTTTTGTCATCTTTACCTCTAAAATTAGGCCACGTATATCGAGAAATCATCTTATATCTGTAAAATTAAAAAAAATTAATAAGTAGATTCATTTCTTTCTGTATTAAGTAAACAAAAATTTTTAAGCAATCACCTCTTCAAAAATTTGTCATAACGTTGTCGATAAGCAAAGCCAGCTCGCCTGACCAATATATTCTCAACAAGTCCCAAGTATCGAACTTGATGCGTGACTCTTTCTTCGTCAAAAACAACGGGAGATTTAACTTCGTTAGGTTTGATACATCTCACGTAAAATGGCTCTTTGCTGGTGAGGTTCTTGATTAAAGCAATCATGGAATTTTTGAAAAGAGTTCCAGCTGTCAAAGGCCTTTTCGTCGTCTATAAAATAAAATGATTATTATAACGACTTTGGATTAAAACATTGTTCCGACAAATTAGTAATGAATACCTTTGTGATGTCTTGTACGCCTTCCGGCCACATGCTCTCAATAATTGAGTTTTTACTTTTGAACAGTAATCGTTTGAAATCTTGGAATAGGGTGTCCTTATTCTTGTCCAAGAATCCATTAATGTTATAAACCACATCGCCTGCATAATGTTTTATTCTAAATTGCGTCTTATGTGCTAATTCTTTATCGGTTGGTTTCAATTGTCTAGATGTGTAATGTTTGTGTTCGACCAACTTTTTATCCATAGCTTCAAGGAGCATCTAAAAAAAGTATTGATGTAAGAATGTAATATGATATAATGATGTAACTTGTGCATAATATAAAATAATCACATATACTTACTTCGTCTGTTACTTTGCCTACGTTCAAGCACGCTTCATCCATAATGGATATAATTCCTTTGTGATTTTGCTCAACGAGATCACAAATTATTTGATTATTGAAATATTCGATATTTTGCCACGCTATACCTTCTTTTTTATACTCTTCTTGTTCTTGCTTCAATACCAACTCTACAAACATAAACAGTTTTATTATAATTCATCCAAAGAAATTACTTAAACAGTGCACAGTTCGTACTTACCAATGAAGAGTTGTTGTAGTTTTTCGTTGCAATAATTAATACAAAACTGTTCAAAACTGTTGGCGTCAAAAATTTCAAATCCATAAATATCCAAAACACCAATCAGTGTTCTATAACGTTTGTAAATATTGTTCGACGTAACGTTGATTGTGCTATTTATGCGTGATACGATCCATGTAAACAACCTATCATACACAGCCTTAAAAAATATCAACTCTCAGTCAGAGCAATATATTTCCAAATTCTTCAAATAACCATTATAGTAATATTTAAAAAATACCTTAGCCAAAGCGTCTCTACCATATTCAGCTTCGGTCAAAGTATGCGTCTTCTGCATGACTTCACCTCCAGCAGCAATTATTCTTTGAATTAGTGCGGCTTTTAGTTCCGTTGGATTTACGCACAGTAAATAAGCAGCATCATTTAATGCTTTGTCACCATTAATATTAACTTTGTCTTCGTCAAGAGTAAAAGTGATGTTGCCCTATATATAGCAATTTGGTTCATATTAGTAATTAATGCTGTCAACATTCTACACAAAATATACTGATCTCGGTAGATTCTCACCAAATGCAATACGCCGGCAACAACGTTCCAAATTGTTTGAGTTTCTACTTGCGTAAATCCAAGCGTCGACATGGCATTCATAACTGTCTTGTAATCGCTTTTGTCATTTGAATTTGTTTGATTGCTGTCTGCGCCGTTCTTAATATAATTGTAAGTAGCAATATCTCTAATTATCCGCATATTTCTCAAGTCACTATCGTTACAGCCATTGATTAACTGAAAGAAATAGATAATTATACACTAATCTGACAGTTATTTTTACATAACTTAACTACGTAGGAAATATTTTCTTTGCGTGTACCTGATAAAAACAATGGAAATTTCTTTCGCCTTTTTGTTGATAAACGACTCTTGATTTTTCCAGCAAGTAATTGGTGACATCTCCGCCAACGGGATCACCTTTGAAATTGAAATTGATATCCATGTATTTGCCAAACCTTGATGAGTTATCATTTCTGTTGGTCTTTGCATTTCCGAAAGCTTCCAGAATGGAATTCGACTGGATGAGTATATTTTTAACCCTATTAAAAAATTATTGTTATCTGATTAAGTAACTTTGGAATATCATTCATTTGAATTGAAATTATTTCATAACGAGGAAAATTATCGTTGCTCGATAGTTTAGTTCGGCAGTTAAAATGACGTTATCGCGAAAACGTTTTCATAGTTGTCATTCAAATAATTATCCTTTGAATTAATTACAACTGGGCTATTATTCCCAACAAAATAGGTCAGCGGCAATATCAGAAATAGCGATGTAAACGCCAACAATAATCTCGATCGACGCGCGAGTAAGCTCAAGAGGAAGAAAAAAAGTGCGCGAGCGATTATACTTCAAGCTTAGCGCTGATTAAAAGTTGGTTATCGTTGCAACTGCGATAATAAGCGTCCTTGGATTCCACAAACGAACCTTTCGATTTCCTGCTGGCCCTCGACGTTAGTTACCGCTGCGATGTACTTCATGATGATTTTACTTGCTTCCGTTTTGCCAGAACCAGACTCGCCACTTATCACAATGCAAGTGTCACGACCCTGTTGCTTCATCTCTTTGTGCACTGCGTCCGCCACCGCGAATATGTGCGGTGGGTTCTCGAAAAGCTCTCGATCTAGAAAAAAAGGTTTATTTATTTTTTTTTTGTAATCAAAATGCGTCAAGATCAGACCGTCGGATACAGAAACTGTCGAGTGCTTGAAAAAGAACGTATAGAACGTGGTCTGTTTTCAAAATCATACAGCATGCAATAACGACCGCAGAAAAAAACTTTCCCTCCGATACGGAAGAACATGTGCGCAGTGTTCGCGCGAGCCGCAAAAAAGGAAAATTAGACAGTTAAAAACTTTCATGGGATTCCATTTGTTTGAAGCTTTTACGACTTTCCGCTCGTAAAGCATCGTATGCATCGCTATTGTATTCGACAGTTCGTCTCGGCTATGCGCATTATCGCAATTTTTATTGCCAAAGGTAATTAGACCGAGCTCGTTATGTAAGCCTACACTTTCATTTTTTCTTTGCGCTGGAAAAAGTCCGATCTAGCTCGCGATACTTAATCATGGAGAAACTTGACTGTTTTAAAAGATCGTTTGTCTGCTCTAACAATTACCTTTGTATTTCTCCACATAATCGGGACTGTAGATATTTGTACTTCTGTATGGATTGACGCTGACGCACACTTCACCGATGTAGGTATAAATTTTTCCTCCATTGAATCTGTAATGCAAGTTGCAATTTCATATAAAGTTTATTCAACTGTTCGCGGCAAGTTTTCTATGTATCTTATCAGAATTGTCTCATTCGTTGAGTTTATTTTACGAGCTAAAACAATCACCTGAGAGACAATTAATAGTTCTAGTACATGTTTATCTTAATATATTTGCAAAATATTCAGCGATACATATTTACGGAAAAGTATAGATAGTACAATAACGACTGAAGATATGCCAAGACTTTTGTAATATGCTCTTTCAGAGATTAGCTAAGTGTGTGATTGTTGATTTTTTACCCATACCAAACCACAACATTCAATTCATTCGATAAAACGTACACAGCGAATCATACACCTGGAATCTTAATTCTCTTAATCTGCAATCGATGACTCAATCCTCATACAATTTATACGACTGGTCGCAAATTCAAGCCTCATCGATAAATAATCTCCTTAATGATCACGCCCATTCTGACAATTCTATATCAGCGTTAGGAAAAATATCAGTCCATTACCCATTTACGTAGCAATCATCGCGCATGAGTATGAACTATCTATTCAACAAACGAAGCGTATCGTGTCTAACCAGTACCTACCGTTGCGAACGTGAAAGCGCTCGCACGCACTCTTTGGAAAAATCGTACGCCCAGGAATTTGGCTACGATCATGGAATGACAAACAAGCGAAGAACCAGCGAACCGTTTGGCTTAACTCATCCTCGTTCCGTTTCTTTTCTCTGAGGTCACGATTTTTTTTTCTTTACGAAACACACACTTATGTTTCTTGCGATTGCTTTAAATTTCCAATTACGTAATAAAACTGTAATAGAATTTATCAATCTGCGTTAACGAGTGTGATTTTTTGTGCGGCTTCGTATTTTTTTATTTATTTAAAACTGATAGCTATCGTCAATTTGATAAGACAAGCTTAATCGATCACAGTTAAATCAAAGACGGTTCGGTCGAATTGTAAAATGTATAAAAGTAATGTGAGTGTGGCGCTTCTTTTTATGAGATGTGCATAAAACCGTTCGACGTTATCAGAGAGGTAGAAGAGAGCAGACTTCCGACGTGAAGCACATGCTCGTCTTCGTTGCCACTTGAATTTTTCACCCACGACAAGGTGTTTTACTTAGAAACGCATACCCATGTCTTTAACAGACAAACAAAAAAAAAAAAAGAAGCGGAATCGCTGCTGCCGAAAAACCGCAAAATGTAGCTAATTTGAACGGCATGCAGGCATCTATTTAGGCTGACGACAATCGATGCGTAACTCTCCGCGCGTGAAAGCGCGCTGACATCATAAGACGTGACTCACGGAAGACGCGCGTGTATAATACAACAACGAAACACACATGCGAAGCTGCGCGAATAAAATCCAAAGCAGCGTGAACTTTTCCGAAAATAACATCTTCTGCAAGGATTTTGGACTGTCTCTATTATGTTGACGACGGAAACGTGCGTGGCTCTTTTGGATTTCCGTGATTCGCGGATAATCTCATTGTTTCCTCTAACGAGGGTTGTTGCGTCTCACTGTATCGCTAATTAGCTTGCAAAAAAAAAAAATTTGACTAGCTAATGAGACGAGCGTCGGGAAGGTTCGCACGCTACGTTACTGGATGTTGTATTCTAATTGGCAAGGCGAATCTCTACGTGCTAGGCGAAAGTTCAAGAGAAGCAAATCAATTTTCGGAGCAATTAACTCATTCGATCTCCACACGCGAAGTATATAAAGGACAGAACAACTCTAATAGACAATAAAACCGAGAATCTACTCTGATTCACCGAATTACTTGATGTCCGTACGTTCATTTTTTTTCTCTTCTCGGTCTAGTACAACATTTTACGGCATTAATCATTGTTTCTCCTATTATCGACGCATGTTATGTCAGCCGACGTTTTTTTTCTGTATGACGCCACTGCTGTGTGCACTAACGAGCTCGTTAATAATTCTAATAGTATTAGTATAGAGCGACTTTCTACGCTATATATTAAATAATCACGAGGCTAAATTATTTTTCTTATCGTTGCTTCGTTAATCAAGTTTGGAAATTTTTGCTAATGACGAAGACCAAATAAAATTCTATATCCGTGCAAAGAAAATTGCAAATTTATTAAAAATAAAATTTTTGATTGAAGTACTGACATTGAATAAAAAAAGATCTACTTAGGCTCGTAGTCCGTCGAGTTATCTATTACGAACATTACATTTGCGATAAGTTATCTTGAAAAAGCAAAATTAACTATGACATCCGTAGGAAAAAAGAGGAATTCAAGAGCATAGCAACACTTTTGCAGAAGTACGAATAAAAAAATCAGTTTCAAAGTCATCTCTTCATCGAAAAACAAAATATTATAAATCACTCCGCGTGTGCATAAATGTAGATGCAGTGCTGGGGTGTACACCTGAGAAGGAAGGAAAAAATTAATAAAAACAAGCTCGGCGTTCTTGACAGCTCACGATTGGAAACATCGAATCGATGCCCTATTGACACGAAATTAGTTCGGGTTGTAAGAAGCCATTCGAAAGTGAGAACCACCTGTGTATCATACGCCACACCCTGGTACCAGAGATGATAAATGACTATAAAAAAAAAGCAAATTTGATGCTATGCGCGCAAGGTAGGATTCATTGTCATTACCAACATATATGCACGGTCGATTGTATTTGCGCCCCCACCTGTTAAACGACACTAACTAGTCAATGTGCGGCGTTTACATGCACAATGCGGCAATGTTGTTCAGTTTTACCTGACGCGAAGATTCTCGACAACTTTGTCGAGGGTGATCTCGTCGAGTAGGACAAAGTCCCCAATGCCAACGTCATCGTGTGCTACCATTGTTGACTCGCGGCGACGACCAACTGACGTTATTCTTCGTATATACTTATAAGCTGCCGGACACTCTGCAAGATATGGAGTCGCTTTACGCTGCTGCCCCCGCACGTACAGCGCGAACGAATCTCTCTTTTACTACGGATTGGCCCCGATATGCCGCCCTCGCTGATGACTCATGTGTGCCTGCGAAAGTTTTTATTTCTACTATGGATGTACGTATACTTTCCGTGATGATATGTTATAAGTACTGCGAGCCGCGAGCGCGCCAACTCTACACTCTCAAGACTCAACTGCGGCAGAAAAGCGCGCTGCGCGCTGCTGCTGCCGAGAACAGCGGATTGGCTTTGGCGCCGTGCCAGCGGCTGCTTGCTCCTCTCTCCTTTCCAATTTATCGACGCTGGAGTCTGTTCCTATGGTAAAGAAAGACTGGCATTTAATCGGCGACAGGTGAAAGTGCAACGGAGATGGCAGATTCAGTTGAGGAAACATGGGAATAAACTTTATGCTAGTGTGGTTCGTTTCGAGTTGCGTTTTGTGACCGTCAGAAGGTGGTCGGTTGAATTTTTCAAACTGGAGAAGGCGGTTTTTGGTCGCAAGAAACGAGATGCGATCTATGCGAGCGTACTTTTTAACACGTCTCTGGTCTGGAATGTATACCTGTCGCCCCTGTTAAGAATTCATTAGTTGAATCTGTATTATATACTTTCTAAATTTTTCAAGAAATATTGTTTTATTCAATCGCGTTATTCTAGTCATAACTGTTTGATCGCTGCAAAAATATACGAATTGATATCGTAACCTTCGCAAGTACTTTTGCAATAACAATCTTTCCATATTTAACAATAACTATAGTTTTGATGTAAGGAGACTGTTTGTCAACACATACTCGACCGCGAAGCGAAACGAATCTACGGCATGGATTGCGGTCGGCATAATAAAAAAAAAAACAACAATGCGAAATGAGAGCGAGAATATTGCCAAGCGAGAAGAGGTGACGTCAGGTTGAGTCGTCTTGGAGGTTAGGCCAACAGCAGTGGCGGTGGCTGGTATTCGCACGCGTATTCGCCGCCGCGCTCGCCGTTTATTGACCCTGAGTGAATTGCCAGCGAGAAACTGAGAGAGAGAGAGAGAGAGAGAGAGAGAGAGAGAGAGAGACAGACAGAGAGAGAGAGAGAGAGAGAGAGATTATTATCGTCGAGAATCGTGATGAAGGTTCTTGCTTACGCGCACTCGTAGGTATAATGTAAGCAGGAGAGCCAATGACTTCAAGCGTCAAAGGTTAGCAGGTCGTAGGGTTCATTTTCTTTCTACTCTCTTGTAGAAATACAGACATGAATCCAAATCGTGGCTTTATTATGCGCGCTGCTAAATTTTGCATTCCTTGCGTTTTGCTTTTTTTTTATTTCAAAATTTTAAAATATGTATGTGTGACGAGTGTTTTTTCTTTACCATACGCATGTACTCGGCCGAAAGATTCTAACTATCTTGAAGCACGTATAGATAATTTGGTTATTTTTGTTTCCGACCCGTCTTTGCAAAAGGAGGAACCTCTACATTTATTTGATTTTTTTTGTATATTTTGTTTCCTTATACCTATAGAACGGTTCAACCGGTTTCAATGGGGTGGGCTCATTTAAAAAAGTATATGTTAGCAAGATGACCTCGTTTTATTGAAGCATAATTTCGCAAAGAATTATAAAAAACTTTTAAATCGGCATTTTTTTGAAAATATTTTTGTTCACGTCGATGGTTCGAAACGTTCAGTTAACCGCAAACAGTCGCTAATTCCTTTATTTGGAGAAACTTACGTCGTTCGCTATGTGACCTTTAATCTCAACTACTCTTTTCTTTTTCTCAAACATCATGGGAAGGACTCTTCCTTTTCATTACAATTTTCCTTCGAGGGCAAACGCCAAACTTCGTGGCACGATTAGGTCGATAGATGGAGACTCCTACGTGAACCCGTGACGCGTTAAAATCTCAACCTTCTGCTAGTTTCACTCTTCTAATATTTATCAAAACTTACGATATTAGATCTCATGAAGTTTGTAACTATAGTATTTTTTATATTTTTAATAAAATTTAAAGTTTTTTAATTCATGAATGTATAAATAAGTGACTTATTCAAACGATTTACCTACTCGTGAACCACAAATACTTAGTGTCTTCGTCAGTAATATTTATATAGTTTTGTCCAATTGGTCATAACATTCTACTATTATAATAATTCTTTTAAAAATATCCATGATGCTGTTAGATTTTTATGTTAAAACAATCTATCGTAGTTATGCTGCGGAAACCATCAGATGTAGCCATTGATTTGATTATAAAACGTGATGCAATTCTCTATAACATATCGCGTAATATATATGAAATAAACTTGACTAATTACACTTGATTACTTTTATAGGCACATGAATTTCAAGTAGTAGTATAGGCAGCGCATTGGCTTGTCAATACATCAAATATATTTGCGAAGTTACAAATTATCATAATCACTAAGCCATAATATTTCTTATTAGTGCATTATACTGTGTTACTTGACATATTTGGAGTAAACAATTAATTTAAGGCAGCTACTAAAATGCGTTTGTTATACTTAAATAATAAAATAATATTTTGAAAGAATTTAAAAAATTCTAATTATACGTAAAAAACACCATTGTGGCAGTACCAGTGAAACGCTGAGTATATAGAAAAGAGCACAATACAACGTGCGAACAATGTGCAAATTGTAAAAAAGTCTGTTAGCAGTAAGTGCACGTCAGGTGCACGTATTAGCAATCTAATCGTAGTAACGGACAGAGCTAAAAGACGCGCAATAACAACTTGCGTACAGAATATATATAATAGGTTTTAGTCTATATAGAGACAAGAAATGCCAGTGGCGCCCTCGATTTTTTTAGGAAAGTCCGTACCCGATTCCGTCTTCCGTGTCCGTGCAAAATTAAGTGGACATTCAATAGGTGGCGTACGCAACGGAGCTGTTTCAGAACTTTCAGAATTTGAGTTCATTTAATTTTCGCTCCCGCTCCGCATAAGATCTATTTGTTACTTGGTCTGATGATATATGGAGGGGGCAAGCGCAGCTATACAAGGGCATGGGGTTGCAAAAAATATATCTTAGGATTACTCGAAAAAAACATCAAAGATTTAATACTATTTAATAATAAATATGAAATAAATTCAAAAGTGTGAGTAGATTACAACCTTCATTGAGTTTAGAGACTATGCATAATAGTTATAGAATACAACCCGCGATTTTTTATGTTATCTTTTTGTTTTTAACGGAGATTGCAGATTCCATCGTAACATCCCCCGTGTTTTTATAATTAAAATGACTATCCGGAAAGTAGGCGATCATGAGTTCAATTTTCGTAAGCAATTAATAAAATTTGTGACACTTAAATAATACATTTTTTTATCCAAAATAAAAAAGTGAGCAGGTAAGAAATGTATTTTTACAGTAATAAGTAAAATGCTGAGCAAATAAAAAAAAGCACAGTGCAACGCAAGAAATGTGTAAATTGTAAAAGATAACAGTCCATTAGCAATACAAGTGCAAGTATTATCAACAATTACATCCTTAGAAACGAATAGCCAGAAGCTGCACAGTAACAACTATTTACACAAGACAAGACTCGCGTACATGGACTATATATATAAATATGAATAGATTCGCCCACATTGGATGACGTCACATAGGCAGAGTCACGCCGCTCAGAGCTCGCGCGCGAGAGGGGGCAATTGGTGAGCAAGCAAACGCGAGGGTAGTCGCCGTCGCGCGCAAACGAAAGGAAAGAGATAGTAACAGCACATAAGTATACACAACGCTAATACAGAAAATATACAGCTAGCCAGCAGCATTCCCGCGCACCGCGCAAGAGCATCGAGTGTGTGTTGTTTTCCGAGTAGTCGCAACGAAGGCATCTCCACGTGCAGTTAAGAGCTACTTTGCTGTTCTAATAAACGCAAAGTGTGCAGTGCTATACGAGAAATATAAACGTGACGACGAAACGAGACCATGGCGACCACGGATTTTTGCGATGGTGATTATCTTGGGGCTTACCGGCGTTTCCTCGAACACTTCGTGACAAATATCTGCCGCGAGGATCAACTACCGGTGAAGATGTCAAAGCGTGATGTACGCGAATGCGAGCTAGCCGGCGACCTCGCCGACATCACTTTGCAGCATCTCAATCAAAGGTGATTAACTATCTTTCTCGATCACTCTCTTCCGCTCTTATGGCGCCGCGTCACTCCTTCTTTGTAACAGCAGCTGCACTAGTTGCGTAAGCCGAGATTTCTTGTTTTCGTGTACATCATTGCAAAGAAAAATACAGTTGATGTGTTTTGATTCCTCGTGTTATAAGGTTAGGTTTTTCTGGCGCTTCCCTTTTAACGTAACTGTTTATGTTATTGCGCAAATCGAAGTTCACGACTCACCGTTGGTACTTTTTTGGCGGTTCTGTTGCGTTTGATAACATGAAAGTGTATTGTTTCTTTTTCTTAGTATACACTCTAGTTATAGGAATTGAAAAATAACTAATAAACGTCCTTTATTCTATTTTAAACATGTAATAGGTAGTTAAATCCTCTCGAATATTTGTACCTACTTGCATCAAATTTTAGTTAAGACATACATATTTTTATTGGAAAGCTTGCATAGATCGTGCTCAATAGAAACTAATTTTACTCGTTGTTTTACAAAAAATTAATTGTTTTCAAACTTGATTTTACTCGTTCTTTAAACACGTGATTCACACTCATTTCAGTCTCGTCAGTCATCTCAAGATTATCGTCCAAGGTCAAACTTTTACCCATAAAAATTGGCTGCTCAAACATTCGCGCGCGTGTGTCCCTCTCTCTGTTCACAAAGCAGCCTCGTCGAACTCGTAAACCTCGTTATCTCTAGCTGTTATCTGGCGCGCTCAATATATGTGTGTGTATGCTTGTGCGTGTGTCCCTAACAGCATGCGTTGCGCATCGAGATTTGTGTCCACCTATTCGGATGTAGGCGGAATTGCGGTGTACTTCCGGCGAAGCGACCGACTAAGTCATTGCACCGGGGTATACGTCGATCTACAGGGACTATGTGTGAATCGAGAGAAAAAGAATTTGATGACTTACTCGTTGACACGCTCTCAAAACGTTTGTAGGCCAGATACAGTGTGTACTGTATTGTTGTTGTAACGCGATACATGCATTTTTGAGTACACAATATGTATAAGACTGCAAACTAATCATCGACTTTTCCGAGAAAATCTAGGCCGAGCTTTTTTTTTGTACTAGTGCACAGGATTACGGCGTAGGGAAACTTACATTTATGACAGCCCTAGTTTTTATTTAGTCGAAGAAAATTACTAATTGAACTATTTAATAATTGATCAGATTGGTAACTCATTCCATGATGTTTTCTCAGATAAGACAATATTTTCAACAAGATCAATTTTCCAAAAACATACTAGAGAAAATACGAGATGCTCGAATATAATAATTATTTGTCTTTCGTTGCAATTATTAAAAATAGAGCAACTCTTTGAAAAGTGTTTTCCTTTCGTTGTGCATTTAGCGCTCTTTTCTTTTCATATAACGTAGCGGCACGGTCGAGAAGCGCACCTAAGTATACAGAAAAAATGTATGAAGAGTATTGAAGAGGTGCATACATCGCGTATGCGCGCCAGCGGCGGCTTCTTCCTTTGAAAAACATTACTCCTTTACTCCGCAAAAGCGTGAAAATTTCACGGGAATAATTTTTATACCCCAGCGCTCACGTTACAGCTTATTATTTATTTTTTATCGAGCTTCATGCTTCGCGAACTCCTTGTTTTATAGGAAAATCAAGGAATCAAAAGTTATGGCTGCTGAGCATACACCTGCAAGTATTACTATCCTGAGCCAGTGATTTTTCGTTAAAAGCGTGTTACCCACGTAACGAAGTGATTTGCAATTTTTGTTGTTGCAAGCATATAATGCAAATTCAAAGTTAATCACATTTATTTTACAGCAGTAACATCTCTCAATATAAGTAATATAAAATATGTAAAATATAGTAAAAAATATTGATGAATCATCCATTTTAAAGCTAAAAAGCTAAAAGTTACAAAATCTAACACATTTTATAAAGTACTTTTTTTTAAATGAGTTTTTAAGCAATGCTTAATAATATATATCTATTATAAATGTAGTAATCACTGATCTTACAAGATCAATCCTGTTTGCGCATGAGAAGCAAATAATTATTAATAATAAGAAGCAAAGCGACTTGGATTTTTAAGAAAGTTTTTTGAAGTAACGCTTGCAAACTTGTCCACTCTGCTCATGAGTCATACTCTGCAAAATTGGAAACAAGTATTATTGATTTAATACATTATTTTTTGTCTATAGTTGATTTACAATAGAAATTACCAAAATAAGTTGTTCATCTTTGAGTTCATACTTTCTAATAACTTTCATATCGCCTGATTGCGAATTTATCACAATACTTCCATCTTCATCCAAGCTTGCTACATTCTATAAATATTATGAATTATTTTATTGTTTATAGTTTTGCAATGAATACATTTTCAATTAACTTAAGCTGACAGTTACCTTTAGTACCACATTAGGCATCATTATTTCTTGAAATTCCTCTCCCATTTTAAATGTTAATTCTACTATACATAAAGCCGTTCTGGTTTGAATGGTCCACTTGTTTTCATCATTTTTTTTCAATTTGAAGTTTAGGACTTGTCATAGACATAAGTTTACTAGCAACATAATGTACTCCTAAACAACAATATATAAAATATGAATAAAATAACATATTTAAATCACTAGAGTATTCTTTTTCAAAAAGTACTCACCAATAGATTTGTAGTACTGTTGCCGATATTTTCCGATCAGAGAAGCCATTTTTAACCACCCAATACTCAGTCTCAAATGTTCTCCAATTTCAAAACAATCTTCTGAATATTTCAACTTCTGAAACAAAATTGCACAAAGTCTATCAGCGATTCATTTGACATCATTTGATATAGTTATGTAAGCTGCAATTGTTTTCTTATCTAATCAGATGTTAAATGTTTTATTGCATTTTTATTGATTACGTTGTTTATATAAAATGTCTAATTTTTAAAAATTTCAGGATATGTCCTCCAAGTTTGCAAGCTTACCTGGTGAAATTAGTAAGAGAGGAGTTTGAAAGTATGTTTCAGAAACAACCAGATGAATGTGGTTATCGACCTCAGAACAAAGGTAAACTATCTGTATTTGTCTCAATTTTAATTTCTAAAAATAGAGGACTAGTGATCTATTTATGTATTATTATATTTTATTTTCTCTATTGTCTTACAGCCTTTACGCCTCTAAAGTTAATGCAAGTTGTTACAAGTAAAGTTAATGAAATTTGTCAGCGTTATCTGGACAATAGCAGACTTGCATTACTGCCTCCACCTCCGTCCATTCCACTACCATTAGTCTCTTCACATGCAATTAAGAATAGAAGAAGAAAAATGGAAGATCGTTCCGTAGTTTTACACGATTTACATACTATGTTCGGTATTAAGGTATTTAATTGGAAGAATTTCTTATTGTCATTTTTCAAAAGCAAGATAAGTAATATTACATTTTCATTTTTAGAATGATGCAGTTGTAAATTATTATGCAGTATTTGATGGTCATGGAGGACAAGAAGCTGCTATATATAGCGCAACTCACCTTCATCAGTATTTGTTAGAGAGTCGATATTATCCCGACGATCTGGAACTTGCCTTACGCGACGCTTTCCGTACTACGGATACTAGATTTTTAGAGTGCGATCATGTTAGTATTATCACAATATTTATTTTTTTTAACCTATTTATTAGAATATATGTTAATTGTATATATTATTTATTTCAGACAAAAAATAGCGGTGCCACTGCCGTTTGTTGTGTTATATATAATAAAACTTTGTACACTGCATGGGCTGGTGATTCTCAAGCTGCATTAATAAAGAATGGAAGAGGAGATTTTTTGACAGTGCCTCATACACCAGGGAGACCAGTAAGTTGTCAAAGTAGGCTAGAAATTAGCCGTTTATTGATTCTTCAAAAGGAATTACATGATCGTAAAGTACAACACGTCCATAAATGTCGCTATGTATAACCACGCGAGCGTCGCCTGATTCAAATATTAAGTTAGGATTGACGTATACAATGTCGCTGTCATGCAAACATTGAAACACGATACCGTTTTTAATGTCTATCATTGGCTTGAAATTCGGAGACTCGTTTGTAATCGAAGTTCCGCTTTTCCAGTCGTAATACGATAAGTCAGTTTTTCTCGGTATAATTTTCTTGCTATTCTCAAAGTACAGCTTCCAGTCTTCTGTTTTCAGTCTGAAACTATAGTCAATGTAGCCAGATATTTGAGATTGCGACTTCCCAACGAATCGCATAAATATTATTGTATATAATTCTCCAATTCTATTTGCGTTTTCTCGGTAAGCTAAAGCTTGCAGCAATGAATCCTCGGAATCTATAGATTCGGAACATAATGCTAAAGGATTCTGCAGTAAAAATAAATATCTTGCAACTTTTTCCGAGCGCCTATAAAAGTCATCGCCTTCTAATGTTCCAGGCGTGTGGTAACCTAATTCAATAATACGTCGGGATATGGATTTGCTTCGCAAATGAAAAAGATCTCGAACTGTTATAAATGAGTCTAAATAATCTTCATAGGTTTGATATTGCAGAAGATATTCATCACGAAGAATTTTAGTTATTTTTTCGGTCATTGTAAACTTTTGAATTTACCTTATTTATTTATTTTATTTCTCAACACATGTCGCGAATATAATAGAACAAATGAGTGAAGTAGTTGTAATTGCGCAAGATATAAGCAAAAACTTCAAGTTTTTAATTTTGATTTCCAGGATGAAAAAGCGAGAATAGAGAATTTAGGAGGAGAAGTTATATATTTTGGTTCATGGAGAGTAAATGGCGTTCTAAATATTTCCAGATCCATTGGTAAGTTTTAACCAACTCATTTTACTTCCTATTTTTCTTCGATGAGTTCCGCATCGTGTGCCTTAATTATACAATTACAAAAAATCATATATTAAACTAGTCCTTTGAAATAAATTTTGGTGAGCTTCTCGAACGTAAAAGTTATTGATTAAAAAATTACTTACAGAGATGAACTTTAAAATAGCGCATTGACGCATGTAAAACTTAAATGTACGGTACTCAAAATAATATAATAGTGAACTATATCAATATTAATCAAACGATAATTCTGTAAAGTGTTAAGTTTGCAATTCATAAACCTCGCGTATCGAGTAACCAAGTATGTGAGCACCGCAAAATGAATAAGTGCGATCAATCGAGAAATATCCAGTCTGCGCATAATTTAAAAAAAAAATAACTAGCCACGTTCGTTCACCGTCCAAACATCTCGTTTAAAGACAAAACCACTCGGCGGGCAAATAAAAGGGTTACATAAAAATCAAACTTTCAAGCGGTATATGTAGTTACATATTCGGTATTCTAGTTATATATTCGTATAACATGGCTGCAAGTAAGCAAACCCACAGGTGTTTGCTTCTCTGCAGTCGAGTGAAGTGCCAGAAACTGGCTTTCGCAGGGTTGAGCCGACGCGAAAGCTCGTTTAGCAAACGAGTAACTAGCATGAGACACGGGAATGCTATGATTAGGATACTCACAATTTAGGTGTCGGCGTAGATCAGTTTGACGCAGCGGCGTCGTCGTTCTTGCACTTTGCGCGTCGAACGCAATTTAGCCGGTCTGATCTGCGAGACAGAAACAATATCGCAGCCAGCGACGACGCGATGTTGCTTCAAACCGGAAACGAAATGGGAGATTGCTAACTGCAATGGTACGGAGCATGACGGATGAAAGCCGTTGGTTCGAGCGCTCCCAGAAGCCCACATACGCACCGGCAGCACCGGCCGCACCGGCCGAGTTGTACCGGCAGATGGCGATGCTGGCATGGCTTTTTCCGCAAGGATCGATCCAGCAGCTATACCTACGGTCGCTTAAACGTCCGTATTCATTGCTGCGACTCTTCCCAACGCCAGCTTCACTTTTAGTGTCTTATTAAATGCCTGTTAATTACGTGCCACTTTTATGGCCGAGGCCCACGCCAACGTTAATCGCTCCAATTCTACATCAAATGCTTGGAATTCGTTTTAGACACGTGGCATATTTATAAAGCCTGTGCAACATCTAAATATTAATTTATTTATCATTTTGGCTGTTGCTGTCGAGTATCGGTGCAACGGATAACAAAGATTAAATAAATTTCATTTTTTTCGTTTGTTGCGCGTCTTCCAACTAATCCTTTTTAATCTTCATGCTTCAATGTTAAGCGAATACTTAGTGTGCTCAACCAAACTGAATTGATTAATAACGAAAGTAAAGAAGCAAAGTTAATCCTCAATCCAACACTCGTAAGCCACGACAAGTGAAGAAAAACGAAAAACAAGCCGGCCTCTGGAGTATAAATCCAGCGAAAAGAATGTCGAGGTGATAAGTGGTTGACACTTGTGCCGTAGCGGAAAAATGAAACAAACAACGAATAATAATCCCGCATGCGTACAAGATACTTTACGCGCCTTGTCGGACTGCGTTTTTCGTCGAAACTTGACTGTCTTGCGCGCACGAAAACGAGTTCCCTCATCATCTCCTCGCCACTCTTCACACCTCGCTGATCTCTTTAACGAGGAATGCACTCGCCGCCGTACCCGATAGGTGCATTTACTTCTTCTCCGCTCGAAGCTCATTACGACGCCAAGATAATGCACTCGGGTGCGATGCTCACCAACTGGCAAATCTCTAGAAACAATGGACTTTCACGCAAACGCAAGATAACACAGTTTCGCTTTTACTTAAAAAAAATTGATGTTAATCTATCGTTACGTTTCTAATTAGCTTGGCGATGTAATTCGCCGCTACTTCGCTTTCTGTTTTGATGTGTCATCAGTGCCAAAAATAATTGTCATTTCGAAATACAACGAAAGAATAAATAGCCCCGAATAACACGACGTGTTGCATCATTTTGCACCTTATGAACAATCATTCGAGTGTTATTATACTCGTCTGGAGAGATTGCGCTGCGCCACGATTTAATCGCATACAAATTACACACTTGACTCGAGAGCAGCGTGGATCGGAGGGAAGTTAAATTGGTGTCAGACCCATCTCATCACACGAGTACCATCCTCGAGCACGATCGATACTCGTAATTTCATATACTGCACTTTATAGATTTTTCTTTTCTGCGATCAGTATTTTGCGCACCAAGTTTCAGATTGATTCGCGAGCATTACCAACTTGTACTTTCAGTCATTGAATTTTACATCGCCGATTATCTAAATCAAGTTCATTAAGTGTAGTCGATATAACGAAACGTGCAGCGTCCCTGAGCAAATCTTCAAGGTGCGCTTCTAACTAGAAAACGAACGATTGCGCCAGCAACCAATAAAACAATCGCCAACCATTCGTAAAATCAGAATTACGCGCAGACTGAATGCAGACATCGAAGGGTGGTTTACGTTCCAACAAGGACGAGGGTGTGTGGGGGTACTCGAAAATTCTATACACGTTTCGTGTACGTATCCTGCAATACTTTCGGCTGACACGATAATATGTGCGAGTACAGCGGCGCGCACGTACCCACACGCACACGTATACATCGGGTTGAACGAGCTTATCGCTTGGCCACTCAAAGCGCAAGCAGCAGAATAATCAGCGAAGGAGTTATGTGCGTGCTACTCGGTCGGCGATGTTATTTTTGCGCCGCTTGCCTCCTGCGATCGGTCGTTGATTCGCGAGATCCTTTCGGCGCGCTCCATTTGGATGCGCGTTTATTTGCCGAGTTGATCGCCCACTCCTCGCCGGCCATAAATTATCGGGGAAGAGAATGAAACGAAAGTAGTTCGTCAGTGCCCGCGCGGAGTTGTGGACGTGGAAGGAGGAAGGAGGAAGGAGCTCGAGCGCGCATCATTCGAGATTGCAAATTCAAATAGCGATTGCGATAGCGCTACGGCGGACAAGACCAGTACGGCGCGCGCGCGCGCGCGCGAGGCTTTTACGTTGGCTCGTAACTCGGCAGCGTGCAGCGGCCGCGGCCGCGGCTCATGATTTGCCTTATGTGCCACAATATTTCGGATAATTCGACTGAACAAGAGGCGCAACGGATCGCAAAAAGCAATAATGGGCGCAGAGGGCGCTGATACCGGAAGCGCGGCTTAATCGCTTCTTTAATTATCATTAAGCAAGGCAGGAGGAGAAAAAGCCTATGGAAAATGGCGCTGATGAGAGGCTGTTCGCCGTGGCAAATGGACTGTGCGAAAACACGAGAGAGAGCCTTGGCTGCCTTTAATTCGATTATCACGGCGAATCGTGCGCGTCTCGCGGATGTGCTCGCTCCGCGTCCGCGCGCGAGCCGATTCTCTCGCTGGCTGGCGCGATCGCACGCTCATTGAACTCGATTGTTTTGCAGGCGACAGCAGCTTCAAGCCCTACGTCACGGAGGAGCCGCAAATCACGCAAGTACAACTGGACGGCACGGAGGACTTTCTGATAATCGCTTGCGATGGATTGTGGGAGAAGGTTAGCGAGGAGACCGTCACCTCGCTGCTCTACGAGTACGTCAGCTGCAATCAGAGTGAGTACACGCGCCAAGTTCTTTGCCACGCAAAAAACTAGAGGAAAAAGCTCGCTCCTGCAGTTTTTGAGATTCCCGAGCTGCTTGGTCGCGGATAAAGAAACTTCCGCTATACGGCGGCGGGCTGCTGCAGCCTGCTCCGAGGCAGGAAATCGTGTTCAAGCTATATATGCTTGCAGCGGTTCTTTCGCGGCATTGTTACGCTCTGTTTCGAGCGCCGTCGCTGCCGCCGCCACCGCTGCTGCTGCTGCTGCTGCTGCTGCTGCTGCTGCTGCTGCTGCTGCTGCTTCGGATTCGCTCCTCTAGAAAATGCCATCGGCCGCTAGGAAGAAACCGCGTCTGCTGTACTGCGATCGTTTGGTCGACGCATCGGCAAGAAAATCCTCTCTTCGTTCACCGCCGATGATCTCGCTGTCGCTCGTGCACGCGCGGCCTCTTGCAACGCTAAACAAGATGCGCGCGTTCCCTATGGCAAGCGGTAACGCGCAATCACAGACCGGCGTCGCTGTCGCCGGCGATGTCGATTGATTGCCGAGCGCGCACGCTCGCACTTTGCTCGTGCGCGGGCTGAAGGCGTACAGCGCGACTCTTTGAAGTTTCAAAAATCAATCGAGCGTTCGCGTGCCGCGCAGCAACTTGTTAGTTAATGCGAACGCAATGCAAACGTTCCGCCAATTAGAGTGTTGGCCGCGAGCCCGTGATTAGGCCAGTGGCACGCGTCGAATTAGCCTGCGTTCGTCCCCCTCGGTCGCATTCGCAGCAGCAGCAGCAGCAGCAGCAGCCGCCGCCGCCGCCGCCGCCCGCCTAGAGGTGACAATGGCTTGCCGAGGGTCGAGACGGAAAGCCCGACATGGCTTTGCCGCGGGTTTTACAGCGTGCGAGCCTTGGCTGGAGATCATAGAAATGGCTCTTTCGGCACCGCGCGAACCCAAGTCACCCCGAGCGCTGGCCAAAGCAACTTTCCAAGCCATCAATTGCAAATGAAAACCCAACTATGCGCCGTTTATTTCTTGTCGTCGCATTCTCCTCCTGCGAAATAGCATCGGCAAGGCTCCCCCGTGTGCGAGAGCAGCAGCCCGCCGCCCAATTAACGGAGTGGGACTCGAGAGACAACTACGGCACTGGCACGTGCCAGCAGTTCAGGGGCTCGCCACGCGCGACCGCGAAAAGAGACTCGCCAGACGAAAGAAAGCACGCCGCTATTTTGTTCTTTTGCAGCCGCTACGGCCGACTGTGTATTTTCGGATCGAGAGCTCCGCGCTAATTGATTTGTCGATTGGGCACGCGGCTCGGTGTGTCATTCGTGGCGCTTGTAATGCAAACGGAAAAATGAAGCGATTATGCCTGGCGGCGTGCACGCGCTGTCGAGTCTCCTTCCACACTTCGCGCGCACTCGAGACACTGTTTCGCGTCACTGGGAGATAAAAAGAGAAAGACGGAGACGCTCGGGATGGAAAGACGTCGACGACGCCTCGCGCGTCTGCTGGGAATTCCGCTGCGCGGTTTGGAAGAAAGTTTCGCTCTCCAAAAGAAATACCCGAGTCTTGGAAATTGAATCGGGAGTAGTGCGTATATTTCCGTTGGGCAGGCGTTTTAAGGGCAAACTTTATTGCCAGGATTATTCTTGTTTTTATGAGCTGCTGCTCGTATTGCACTATTTATTGATATTGCGTTGAAGCGAGGGAGACAACGGGCGGCTTTGCGAGACAACTCCGCGTGAGAAAGCATCGCCGTTGCACGTTGTCCATTTGAACGTTAAATTAATGAAGCGTGCGTTAATTCTTTCGCTGCTATATCAATTTGCCTGACCAACTTTATCAAGTATCTTAGCTTTCGTGAATCGATCCAAAACAATTTCAAACCCATAGTCCGAAGAATTTCGTAGAATCGAGCAACGATATAAGAGAATACCCAACATGACGTCCTCTGCAAACGCATATCCAAACGCCATAAATGCATTCAAATGCCAATATCGTCGTCGGCAACGAGTATAAAGGACTCTCTTTCAGCTCTCTCCCTCCCTCCCTCCCGCCCTCTGTGTCTCGAAAACTCGCAAAAGGTACTTGGTAAAAACGTTTTACCTTTGCTCACTGGCAGTTCACCCGTGACTAAGTTGCTCTCTCTCGCCTTGGTGCGCGAGACAAGAACAGTCCTCCCGCAGCCGAGAGAGGCAGAAAAAACAGGCAGAACGTAAGGCGATTACTTGGCAAGGTTTTTTTTCTCGCTCGACGTGGAATTAGCGAAAAGGGACGATGGCGCTCTTCTAATTGTGCGGCATACACACCCTTTTCGTACTTTGCATTTACAACGATTTATTGTCGACTTATGATCCGCAGCGCTTGAAGAGAATCACTGAATTAGCATTATAAATACGAAAAACAGGTTATCGAATTGAAGCGCGCACAAGAGCCGCGCGGCGATAAGTGATCTTTATTGGCCGTTCGTATTCGAGTGTCTATTAAAAGCCAATCGCTGGTAATAGCTAATTAAATTTCGCAAAAACAAGGAAGGAAAAAACCAAGCATTCCAAAGCTCTCGCAAGAGAGAGATGAGGGATCAAGATACAGTAAGAAAAGGCGGCAGCGGTTGTAACGAAACCAGACAGTAAAAGCCGCGTGCGAGTCTTTTTCTCGTTATCCGGCGCTCCACATTTTCAAAGAGCCGAAGGGAGAAAATTGCACGATAATCGCACCTTCTGTTGTATTGTTCGCTCGCGGCTGCACCGAGCTCTTTGGAAAATCCACGCGAGGCGAGGCTTTTTTTCCAGCGGTTTTCCGTGGAAAGACACTCGGCGTGGCTCTTCTCGGAAGCGACCTTCGCCCAAAGCTCTTCCGGAGACGAAACGCGGGTCGGAGCTTCGCCAAGTCGCGCAAAATGGACTTCCCGAATTCGATTGCGCTAACGAGCGGTGCCCTCAAAAAAGAGCGCAGCATTCTCATTAGAGAAGCCAAAAGATCGGAGAACAATGATGGTTTAAACGAAGGCACGTCGTCTGCCAAGAAATTTTTCAGTCTTAATCGCGAGTAAATCTTGGCGCTTTCCCATCGCTGCAGCCGCGCGGGAAGACGTATTCTCGTCCTCTTTCCTCTCGAAGGGAGAGAGAAATGCATAGGTCCACATTTCACCTGCCTCGAGTAGTCGCGCACGACTAGGTCCTATATAGAAAGAGAGGATAGCGATCGCGCGCGCGCCAGCAGGAAGGGGGAGCACTAGTAAGTTTCACGGGGGGGCTCTTGCAGGCCGCTCACTCGACCGTCACTCGCTCCCGCGTTCGCAGCTCTCCCTCCAGCCGATAACAGTGTCTTCTTGCATTTTTATTTGCTACGTACAGTGCATCTTGTGAATATAAGTAAAGTGTTCGGCGCTTGTGTGCTCTGCGACAGTGTATACGCCCTCGGGGGAGCTTTATCCGCGACAGGACCAGAGCGAGGAAAGAAGCGGGCCTTTATCGGTGAGTTTCCCGGTTCGCAACTCTCTCTCTCTCTCTCTCTCTCTCTCTCTCTCTCTCTCTCATTCTCTTTCTTCTAGATTTCTCTCCTCCGGCAGACTGTCAGTTCTATCTACATTTGTGCGCGTCCGCGGGATGACTCTTTCGGATATCTTCCCTTGTCTTTCTTCGTTTTAATCATTATCTTTAACACCTCTTGCTCCGACCACGGTCGGGGACCCCCTTCTTCGCAACTCGTCCTATTCGACTTTGAAATAGCACACCAAGAGCAGTCTGAAGGAGAAGCTTCTCGATTTTGCTACAGGTTAAAACAACGAAAGCGCGCAAATACCGAATGTCCTTGGTCGGATCTCATACTGCAAAAGAAAATGAGCGGCCGTTTATTCTGTGCTATGAGAAAGCTCGCAATTAAGGACGCTAAGCGCTTATCCTAGTCCCAATTTATTACAAACACAATAACCAGCGGCAGCAGCAGCAGCAGCCGCCCCAAGGGAGGCAGGACTTCTTCGTCCGCGTGCGTGCTCGTCGTAAAAGTTAACGAGTCAAGCGGCGGCACATCTGTGGAGTGTCATTTCCAAGCCTTGCAATCTTATATTATTCTTTTCCAATACGAAGACTATTTCGCGGCGTTGCGAATGTAAAACTTCCTTTTATTCGCGCGCGTAAAAATTAAATTGCAGTAGAGTCGAGCGAGCGAAAGGAATGCGTTTGGCCGCGTAAAACACTTCCGTGCGGCTGCTCACGCGACCACGTCACTTCCGCGCTCGCGCCACGCGCCGAATGACGACGGGCTACGCTTTCGCGTGCACGTCGACTTGCGTGCTTCTGCGCGCGTCTTTCTCTTGACCGAGCCCTCCACCCCCTCCCGCCAAACTCGGCGATTCCTCGCAAGTGTGAGCAGTGTGTCCGTGATTCGTGACGCGCATTTCCAAGCTGCTCCTTTTTGGTTACGCGTAATGACGGCTGTGACATTGCGACGTGCGCTTGCCCGCTAAACGCGCATCATAGTAATTTAATTCGCTGCAAAGCAGAAAGAGCGACCTGATCGTCAATCTAAATGTATACTCATTAGGGATGGAAATAACGGACTCTATGAGAATTCAGAAAAAATTACCAGTCATTAAAATGCATCTTTTTTTTCGCAAGTATACAGCTCTTGCCGAGCGGACTTGCAAAGTATCACGCGTGATACTTTTCTGCTTTTTACGAGGATATAGAAAACCCCTCACCGCAAAATGTACCCACTGTGACTGATGCCCGTGCACTGTATTTTGCAAAACCGAGTGAGAGGGAAAGAAAAATTCGCCGGAAATTCAATTTGCGCTCGCGAGATTAATTAACGACGCGCGAGTCGTCGATAATTAACACGCGTGTGTGCCATCCGTCAACGACGAGTTTAATTAAGCTATCCGTCTGTTGCGCAATTAAAACCTTTCTCCCCGGCTTACAATTAAGCGTCAATCCGTTATCGCGCCGCGACGATATCATTGTCTCTCTCTCTATATTAGGACGAGACGCCCAGGAGGACAGGTAATCATCAGCGACTGCGCAC